AGGGGCCAGCAGGGGCGCGGCCTGAGGTGGCCTCTAGCGGCCCGCCTGCGCTGGCTGGGGCGACCCCGATTCCTGTGAGCTCAGGAGCACGCAGGCCCCTTGGCGCGGGCACTCGGTCTAGGGGTGCCGGGTTCCTTGGGAGCGGGCTGGCGCCGCGCATCCTGGTCTTGGCCGCCACCGGCGGGGGCGAGGAAGGAGAGACCCGGCCAGGAGGAGGCGGGTGCTCGGAGCCCTGCTCCTGGGGCTCTCCTGGAGCCTGCCCACTCCTGGCCCTCACACCCTGTGCACCTGCTGTGGGCTCGGCTGGGAGCCCCCTGGGTGGAGACACTCGCACCCGCATAGCCGAGGAAACTAAACAACAGATTGTGTCAGAGTGGCAACTCACAGACTGTGGCCTCATGACTGTGACCTCTCCGGGGGTTGTGGCTCCTGAGGATGTCACACTTGGCTGGGATCCCGAGGGTGATAGGGAGGAATGGTTCAGGAAGGGCGTGCAAGGGTCCTGAGGACATGAGGAACTTGGCGCGTTCCCTCCAGATTAAACTGGAGGCCTGGCCAACCAGGGGTGGGCCCGTGGGGAGGACTCTCTCAGGGCCCCTGGAGATGCCAGGCCTCCCAGCAGGCCCAGGGAGGAGAATGGAGGCTAATATGTCCCATCCTGGGTCTCCAGGAAGCAGGCACAGCACAGGCACTAGCTGTGGGGAGAGTCGGGGAGGGAGGAGTCTCTGCATCCCAGAGGAGCCACAGGACTGAGGGAGCTCCCCGGGGTCTTCGTACAAATGAAGCCAGCTGGTGCTCACAGCATCCTGGTGGGAAGCAGTGGCCAGTGGGCTGGTGCAAGACCTGGGGGCAGTGGGAAGGGTAGGCCAGGCTGGCTAGCTCCGGTTGCCTGAAGGGGCACTGAGTCCTGTCTGCTGCAGCAGGGGTGCACCTGGCTGTGGGCCACGTGCCCATGTCCTGATACTGATTGGAGAAGGAGCTTGGAGTGGGCAGGCAGGATGAACCCTGAGGAGACAGTGGGCAGTAGGGGGGCTCTGTGCAGCCTGTCCCATCATCTCCTGTGTGTGGGTGTGGCTGGCAGGGCCTCTGGCGGCAGCTCCAACCCAGTGTGTTGGCTGGATGTGCCTGTAGGAGGGTGTCACCTCAGGCCTCGAGGGCCCTTGTCCTTCAAGGTCCCAGAGCTGTAGGCAGAGAACAAGGTGTGCTGTGTTGAGTCCTGGCGCCGGCTCAGGGCTGAGGTGAGTGTAGGGGACACCAAGACACACAGTGGCATCTGGGTCACATGGCCAGGCGAGTGTCCTGGGGAGCCAGCCCTGCCTTTGGAGAATTCGAGTGAAAAAGAGTGCTCTGCCAGGGAGTGTGCCAGCTGCTGCCCAAGGCCCCTCCTGCCCCTCGTACCTGTGTGGCCACTTGCGTTTTCCACATCTGGTCCCCACGCCAGGCCTTGGTCTTGCCATGGCTGTTGGCCACGACTCCAACTGCTCCCTCCACCCTGCTGCCACCCCTGTTCTCCTGGGGTGCTGCTGGCTCTGTCCTCCCCAAGGCTGTCTACTCGTTGCGAGGTCAGCCTGGACCAGGTGTCTGCCACGGCTGGCCATGCCCCTGTCCCTTCTCTGGAGCTTCACCACACGGGACTTCCTCAGGGCCATGAGGGCACCTTGTTCTGCACCTGGAGCACCATCACCTGGAGTGCTATCACTGGGAGCATCTTAACCTGGAGCACCCACCCTGGGAGCAACTTCACCTGGAGTACCCACACCAGGAACAACTTTCCTGGGAGCACCATCACTTGGAGTGCCATCATCTGCAGCATCATAACCAGGAGTACCTTCACTGGGAGCATCTTCAGCAGGAGCATCATCACCTGGAGCATCTTCACCTGGAGTGCCTTCACCTGGATCCCCTTCACTGGGAGCATCATCACCTGGCATGCCTTCACCAGGAGTGCCTTCACCTGGAACATCTTCACCTGGAGTGCCTTCACCTGGAGCATCATCACCTAGAGTGCCTTCACTAGGAGCATCTTCACTGGGAGTGCCATCACCTGGAGCATCACCTCATGTGGAGCATCCTTCACCTAGAGTGTCCCATACCCAGAGCACCCCATACCTAGAGTATTCCACTCATCTGGCCCCTCCCCTGGAGTGCTTTCCCCCATTGGAATGTTCCTCCCCTTGAGGACTCTTTCCTGAGGAGTATCTCTCCCCAGAGAACGCTTCTCCTGCAGCACCCCTCCCCTGGAACATCTCTCCCAATTGGAGCACCCCTCCCTGGGAGCATTCTCTCCTGTGGCATATCTTTCTGTAGAGAACCCCTCCTCAAACACCCCTTTTCTGAGCACCCCTCCCTGGAGCACCCGTTTCCTAGGCACCACTTTCCAGAGCACTCCTCCCCAGAGGACCCCTTTCCTGAGCACCCCTCCCTGGAGCACTCCTCTCCAAAGCATTCCTTCCCGGAGTACCCTTTCCCAAGCACCCCTTCACTGAGCACCTCTCCCTGGAGCACTCTTCTCCTGCAGTCTTCTTTCCCTCAGCATCCCTGCCCTGGAGTCCCCTGCCCTGGAACATTCTTCCTCCTGAGCACCGCTCCCCTGCAACACCCCTCCCCTGGAACACCTCTTTCCTGGAGCATCTCTTCCCTAGAGCATCCCTCCCTGGAGCACTCCTCCCTGGAGCATCCTACCCCTGGAACATCATTTTCCTGGAGCAGCTCTTCCTTGGCACACACCTCCCTCGGAGGATTCCTTCCCTGGGGCACCCCTTTCCTAGAGCACTTCTTCCCCAGGAGAACTCCTCCCCTGGAGCACCCCTTCCGTGGAGCACCCTTTCTGGAGCACCCCTTCCGTGGAGCACCCTTTCTGGAGCACCCCCTTCCTAGAGCACTACTTTCCTAGAGCATCACTTCGCCTGGAGCACCCCTCCCCTGGAGCAACCCTGTCCTGGAGTACCCCTTTGGTAGAGCACCTCTTCCCCTGGAGCACCCCTTCCCTGCAGCACCCTTTTCATAGAGCGTCTCTTCCTTGGAGTACTCCTCCCCTGGAACACTCCTCCCCTGGAGCGTCTCTTCCTTGGGGCACTCCTTTGCTGGGTTATCCCTCCCCTGAAGTGCCCCTTCCTTGATGCATCCCTTTTGTGGAGCATCCATCACACGGAGCACCCCTTCCCTGGATGACTTTTCCCTGGAACATCCCTCTCCTGGAGCACCCCTTCCCTGGAGCACATTCTCCCTGGAGCACTCTCTCCCCTGGAGCAGCCCTCCCCCAGATCCCACTCTGCCTTGGAGCACTGATCGCTTGGAGCATCTGACTCCAAATATCCTCCCCTAGAGCACCCTTACTCCGGAGCACAAGTCCCCTGGAATACACTGACTCCAGAGCCCCCCTCCTCTGCAGCACCCTTCCCTGGAGCAGTTTCTCTGGAGCACTCTCTCACCTAGATCACCCATCCTCGGGAGCACCCCCTCTCACCTAGATCACCCCTCCTCTGGAACACTGTTTCACCTAGACCACCCCTCCCCTAGTGCACCCTCTCACCCAGAGAATCCCTCCTCTGGAGCACCCTTTCACCTGGAGCACCTTTCCCTGGAGCACTCTCACCTAGAGCACCCCTCCTCTGGAGCACCATCTCACCCAGAGAACCCCATCCTTGGAGCATTCTCTCACCTAGATCACCCCTTCCCTGGAGCACCCTTTCATCTAGATCACCCTCCCCTAGAGCACGCTCACCTAGAGCACCCACCCCTGGAGCACTCCTCCCCTGGAGTACCTCTTCCCTGGAGCATCCTTTACTTGAAGCCCCCCTTTCCTTGTTGCCTGAGTACAGAGGGGTGTCCTATGGAGGCTGCTGGGTTTCCAGCTCTGGGGGTTGGCCAGAGGGTGGTGGCCAGAGACTGGCGGCACGTGTCTCCCTGAGGCCTCAGAGGTCTGTGGGAAGGAAGCTGCGGTGATGTCAGCACAGCACAGCCCCATACTGGAGAGCAAAAGGATTCTTCCTGGGGCCAGGTGGACACTGCCCCACTGCCTCAGGAGGTAGAAGCCCAAGCACCTTGGGACAGGCCAGCTGAGACACAGGCCAAGGGCATGTCTGGCTGTCCCGGCCACTCCACAGCCAAAATGGGATACCCACCGGCTGGAGAACCTCACAGCTGCCGGCACCCAGGGTGCTGCGTGTGGCAGACTCTTTGACGCCCTCCAGCGCTCTCTCCCTGCCTGGCCTGCGCCTGTCAAGGTTGGGGATGACTCAGGGCCCAGCCGTCACCTCGGCAACATGCGTCGCCTAGCGATGGCGGTCTCCCAGTAACGGTTGTCTCCTAGCAATGGGATATTTTCTCGGCTGGCTGGAGCCTGGCAGTTATTTTTAGCTCAGCAGTAAATCAATCGGCAGCTGCATTTTCGGCTCCTTGAGGAGATGCAAGGTGTGGGAGGGTGGACTTCTTGGTAAAGGGAGAAAAACATCCCCAAGATAGGAACTTCGTTGCCGCGGTCCCTGAGGTGCAGGCCATAGGTGGGTGAGGCCAGATCCTGCCTGTGGATTGTGGGGGATAGTGGAGGAAACCAGAGGTTGTCCAGGCTGCCCTGGAGAGTCGGCAGCTGTGACTATGTCCTGGATGGGTCCCTGAGCACCCTGAGGCTCGCAGGTCAAGCTGGGTGGGGGTGGCCCAGGTCAGTGCTCATGGCCACCATTGGAGCATGATCCTGGGTGGCCCAGGGTCTGGCAGGCTCCTGACACCCTCTGCCTGTCAGTTGTGGGAACTGTCCTTGTGTGGTCAAAGCCTCAGAGGGGGACACAGGAGGGACCAGCCCACACCCTTGCCCCACTGCCAAGGAGTGGAGACACAGGTGGGGTCTTGGGCCAGTGTGAGATCTGACCTCTCTCTGGGCACTCTTTCCTGGTGCCTCCAGCCATTTCCAGCTGCCCCAGTGGGCCTGGTGGTGCCAGCCCTGCCCAACCTGGTATGCACCTTTTGTGCTTCCTGGTGCGCGTGGCTCCACTTGCCTTGGGGCCTGCCCACATCCACTCTGCTTGCCCCAGGCCCCGCCCAGTCCAGACCCTGCCTGGACCATGAGTGCTGGTCATCTGTACCCTTGGCATGGTGGCTTCCCTGTTGAGACCCTCTTCACCCTGGGGGCGACCACCTGTCTGCAATTGCTCCCCTGATGAACATGGGGCTGTCTGTACTGGGCACTGCCCAGGCCCAACATGGTGGACGTGGCACTAGGACCCCTGCCGGCCAGATCCTGTGTTTTGGAGCCAGTGCAACAGCTGGAAGGGGGTTAACCTGAAGGGTGACACCACGTGGCAGTGACCAGGGTCTCCACTTGTCCCCACCCTAGCGCCCCCTCAGATTGCACCTCCAAAGTCCTCTGGGCAAGCCTAAGACAGAAGCCAAGACTCAGGTCTCTGGACAGGGTCTCAGGGTGGCCGCTGCTCTGTGGGCCAGCGGGCTTTGGTGTGCAGTATGTCTTCTTGGCCAAGGTCAGGCAGAGCAGCAGTCTGTGGGGGCCAGTCGGTCTGTTCTCTGCGCTCTCCCGGAGCTGAGGGGAAGCCCCAGTGTACCGCACTCCCACTTCCTGAAGCATACCCAGGTTTCTGCCTTTGTCTGACTCGAGTTTCGCCTGCTGCTCTGGTTCTTGTTCTGACTTTGGTGGCAATGGAGAGAGGCCCCTTTGGGGGTTTCAGGACACTGGAGGGTCTGGAACTGGGGGCCCTCGAAGGGACTCCCAAACTGAGCACAGACAGCTGGGAGTTACTTGAGGCCTGGAACGTCTTTTATTCATTAGTTCATTCATTCATCCACTCCCTCACCCATTCTCCGGGTTTTCCAGGGCACCAGCACCCAGGGGTCCCCAGAGTAGTAGAGGCCAGACACGGCCTTCCTGGCTCCTTGTCCACGGGCAGCAGAACTGACGATGGCGCTTTCTTGGGTGGGGCCGCAAGCCTAGAGGAGCAGCAGCTGCTCTGTCCCGGTCTTCTCCCGTGGGAGGCGGGGGGCTATGGAACAGGTAGGGGGAAGGCCTGCGTAGAGGAGACGGCTCAGGGCCAGGTGTGTGCCCCTTCCAGACCTAGTCACCCCCAGGAATCCTCCCTCGAACCCCAAGGCACTGGCCCTCGGGGGTGGGGGAGGGTAGAGGCAGGCCTGGGCTAATCCTCACTCTACCACCAGAGGGTGCCCGGAGCCCACCTCAGAGGCCCCGCCGGCTGCACTGTGCTGGCCACAGCCTAGAAACCGCCCCCAGCAGTGGCAAGAGCAGCTGACCCGGTGACCTCTCCTGCCCCCTACGAGCGCCTGGTCTGACCCTTTCTTTTTAACATTTTTATTTTCAATCGTGGTAAAAACACACATAATAAAACTAAGCATTGTAACTATTCTCAAGACTGCAGTTCAGTTGTGTTAAATATATTCATGTTGTTGCATAACCCATTTCCAGAACATTTTTCATTTTCCCAAACTGAAGCTCTGTCCCCATTAAACCCTAACTCCTCACGCCCCCTCCCCTGGCACACACCCTTCCACTTTCTGTCTCCAAGAGCTTGACTGTACTAGGTGACTCATGTGAGTGGAATTACACAGTGTGTGTTTTAGTGACTGCCTGACTCACGTGACAGCATGTCCTTAAGGTCTGTCCTGCCGTGGCATGTGTCGGAATGCCACTCCCTTTATGGTTGGATGGTGGTCTGCAGCGTGGACACTCCGCATTTCTCTCCTTTTGCCTCTGACAGCCACCTAGGTTGCCTCCACCTTTTGGCACTGTGATACTTACTTCTGACCTGCAGTGGGTGCCTTGCTTCTTGTGGGCCAGGCTGGGCCCTGGAATCTGGGGAGGGGAAAGTCAGTAGGATACAGCCTCCCCCTGTCGTTGGGGCCATCTGACCTCATCCTTCCACCATGCACTTTGGGCCAGGGAGGCAGGAGGGCTGGAGCGGTGGGGATGGAACATGCACACCCACATGCTGCACAGCATCCTTCTACACTGGCTCCTGCAGCCCCCGCTACAGCTTGCAGCGAACTCAAGGGCTTCTGTGTGCAACTGGACCCTTGGCTGGTGCCTAGGCCTTCTGTGATCTGACCTGCCACAACCCCACACCACCCACCCCGTACCCTGGGGTCTCATCAGGTGGTCCAGCACGTGGTCCAAGGCTGTCTGTTCTTTCCCAGTCCTCAGGCACCTTCACCTGGATGACCACCCCCACCCCCTCCTCTTAGGCCAAACTCAGAAGCCCAGGCTGCTGGGAAGCCCACCACTGTCTGGGCCTGACTCTGGAGTGTCTTTGCCAGTCGCCTGTTTCCACTTGTTGGGAGTGTGGACACTGCTCCTGTGGCTTGGGGGCATCCATCCAGCTTCCTCTTTCACACTCCTCCGGGGAACCCTTCCTTCAGGTGCCGCTCCTGGGAAAGGGGCTAACCCTGCAGGGGGCTCTGGCCACCCCAAGCTTCTACCCTTGGCGCTGAGGCGTGGCCCAGCTCCAGGCCGGCCAGCCTCCTCCCAGGTCCCCTCCCTAGCTCCGGAGCAACGGTCTCTTGCCCGGGGTACCAGCTGTCTCCAGGGAGGGGTTAGCAGGACAGGGCTGGGAGGGATGCGGCCAAGAGGGGCGGGTCCCACCTAGAGAGGACTAGTCCTGCAGCCCAATCGGGAGGCGTGGTGGAGCTGCCCGGGGAGCCAGCCCTTCCCCCACAGAGGTTCCAGTGGACACGCTCACTCTCCCTCAAGGCCTAGGGCTCAGGGAACAGTGACCCATCAGGACGGTGCGGCACGGCCAGGCCACGGTGAGGGCCGCGCGGGGCGATCGCGGGCGTCGACCTGGGCGGCCGACAGCGCGGCCGCACGTCCCGCGG